GTTTTGGCAGCCAGAAGTTATGGGGACTTACCTTCCTGGCATTGAATCCTTGGGTGGGAACCCTGGGGTGGGGCTGGGAGTCCTTACTCCTTAAATATCCCTCCCAAATTGCTGTCCACCACATGTGTATGTGGGACCAGCCTGTTCGCATCTGCACCCTTCCTACCAGTGTTGATGGATGTGGTTTCTTTAATTCAGTAGTTGTCAGACTTCTATTCAACTCAATTTCTGATGGTTCTATAATTTAGTTGCATTTTTGATGTGGTTGTATAAGGAGGTGAGCCATGTTTATCTGTGCCACCATCTTGACCAGAAGTCAAGATGCTTCTTATCATGCCACCTGTTTGGCCTCTGGGAACAGAGGTCCTTTGGAATGTAGAACTAAGCAGATCTGTGGCAGTATGTGTTTTCAGCAAACAAAAGCCTAATTTGTTTCCATAATAACACTTAATAATTTCCAAAGTACTGGGGGAAGTCAAGGTTCTATTCCTGAAGGAGAGAACTGTATTTAGGAAAGGAAAAAATGTACCCTAACCAGATTGTGGGGTATAATGTATTCCACCTACATTTGAGACTGTATTGATGTCTGTGCAATTAACTAACTTCTGGTTTTGGACATTTGTTGAATCATGAATTAATGTTATGCCAGCCACTGTGTGTCTGGTGTCTTAGTCACCATGTTCTTAAGGCAAGAGTTAGCTCTGGTTCACTGACCTGGAATCTGGAGTTACATTGTTCAAAGTCACTCAGTGAGTGGAAAGCTGGGACTTGAACCTATGTCTGTTTGTCTTAAAAAGAAAATCATGCTCAACAATTAAAGTAGTGATTTAAATTTTTTCTCCAAGCTCTTTAAATGTGCTTTGTCTATATATTTAGTTATTTAAGGCAAAGGCTTTTTGAGTTTGTTGGACTGAAACATCTGTTCTACAGCTATTTTTAAATACAGGTTTATATATGTATGCATAGACAAATAGATATTTTTGCACATGTTAAACTATTTTATACTTATATCAAGTGTATATATTTAACTTCATTCTGTCTATTTATATGTATGTAACTTACACAAAGCAGGGTAAGGATAGATCATATGTCCTAGTTTTACTGCTGGGCCACCTTCAAAGAAATAAAGTTTAGCAATCAGAAGTAAAATAATTCTATGCCCTGGCTGATGTGGCTCAGTGGATTGACCGCTGATCTGTGAACCGAAAGGTCACTGGTTCAATTCCCAGCCGGGGCACATTCCTGTGTTGTAGGCCAGGTCCCCATTTGCAGGTGTGTGAGAAGCAACCAATTTATGTATGTCTTGCACATTTGTGTTTCCCTCTCTTTCTCCCTCCCTTCCCCTCTCTCTAAAAGTAAATAAATAAAATCTTTGAAAATAAAATAAAATAATTCTAATTTTCACTCTCCAGATTAAATTTTTTATTCTGTAGAATAACTTAAACCTTTTCCCCAGTATTTAGTTTTTTCTAGGTAAAGAAAGAGCTTAGGAGCAGACCCTGAAGGCTACAGTACCTTGTACTTACAAGCTTGATGGGTGGGCCCTGGGTGGTGTGGCTCAGTGGATTGAGTGCAGGCCTGCGAACCTAAGGCTCACTGGTTCGATTCCTGGTCAGGGCGCATGCCTGGGTTGTAGGCCAGGTCCATATTTGGGGGCATGTGGGAGGCCGACAGTTGATGTTTCTTTCCCCCTCTCTCTCCCTAGCGTTTTCTCTAAAAATAAATAAACTATTAAAAAAATTAAAACAGAAACAAAAAGAAGCTTCAAGGCTGGAGGTAAAGTTTTCTCCCTCTTCAAGGGTAGAGGGAGAAAGATTGTGAAGTCACACATTAGCCATTTGTAGTAGTTACAAATTAGTAATTTTAGTTCTTGTTATGGACACTGTTTTACTGGAACATAATTATTATAACACTTGGTTTTCTTATACATCATTGTATCACTTGTGATGCTTTTATCGGCATTAAATAATTATATAGTGTTTACTTTGTGCCATGTGCTGTTTGAGGTGCTTTATATATATTAACTGATTTAATATCAACACGACAACCTGTGAGGTGGCTACTGTTTTACTCCTTATTTTACAGATGAAGAAACCAAGGTGTACAGAAGTTAGGTAACTGGTTTCAGGTCTCACAACTGAGCAAGGACAAAATTAAACGAGGTTGAATCCAGGCAGTGTAGCTTCAGAGTTTATGCTTTAAGATAATTACAAACTATCACTCTTATGAAATAATAAAGCTTTATTTAATTATTAATATTTTCAACATTTACCCTACAGAATAATAATGTGGACATGGGCAGAAAATAAAATACTGTCTCAATCTTCTGCCCCTCCTGAATTGTTTTCCCTGCTCTGAATGGTTGGTGTTACAGTATTTCGATCATTGACCAGGTTGGGACTCTTTCTGGCCTATAAAGATCTTTGAGGTAATGGGATTTGCAAGACATCAGTTTTCTTTCGTAGTTTCTCATAATGCATTATAATGGGTAGGTAATTGCTTTTTCAGTCATAGAATAAAAATGTATTGAATTTACAAAGCATGAGGCTGAAATCAAGAAAACACAAGGAGATCAAAGCTGGGCAAGGGAGTGGGAGTGATGGACATCTCTGGGAGTATTGTTCATCTCTTTATTGTGCACGGGGTTAGAGCTCGTGGGCTTCCATGTAGTAGCCTGTGTGCATTTTTTCCCTTTTGGTGTATTGTACTTTCCTATTAGGATCAGGAGGTTAATTACAAACACGAGAACCGGGATTAGCTATTCCTGAGAGTAGAGAGAATGAATGTGGTTCTGCAGCCCTTTGCTCTTTCTCTGCTACCCACCCTGCTTAAAGAGTGACCAGGAATGGCACATACTTGGGACCTGTGCTGCTTGAATTCCTGTCTCCTGAGCCCAAGGAAGACATCACTTGTTGAGGACAGCACTATTTCTGAGCCTGGGTCTTGCTTCAGGATCCTTCTCAACACTGCTCCTAGCGTTCGCTGTCAGTCAGATGTGGTGTTGAAATAACACCTATTTACTATCTCTGACTGGGTGTTTAGAGCTACATCTAGCAATGACAGAAATCAAAACTGAGACCTGAAAGAGGGCTGAGATACCTCTCACCTAACAGATGAAAAGACTGAGGTAGAGGAATGTAAAGGCATTTGTTTAAGGTTATCTTTGTACTTTGCAGCAGAACTGGAATATAATGGGCTTCCTGCCTGCTAATACAGCACTCTCGCTCAGCCGCCTCTGTACTGCTTGTCTGAATTCACCCAGATTTCTTCGAGTCTAAAAATTTCCCAGCTCCAGAGAGTATCTTTGCTGGATATTTGTCACACTTTCCACACTGACCTGAGATGAAACGTGTTCCTTGCTTGCTGGGGCAGGGCTCACTGCTGGTCACCTGGGAGGTGGTGGCAGGGAAGTGGCCATGGAGGAGTGCTGCTGGAGTGTGCGGCCTGCTTGTGTCAGCAAGGCACACCTATACCCTCTCCCTGTCACATGAGCCAAAAGCCAGTTGTTCTGGGGGGGTCTCAGGTGGTGCTGCAGCTGCTTGGGGAACCCTTAGGCTGTCCTGGTTAAGGGTGCAGGCTTCGAAGTGGAACAGGCCTCTCTTCAAAGCTCAGCTTCATACTTACGGAGTGACTCTGGGAAAATGATAGTATTTCTCTCTCTGCCTGAGTGCCCTCACCTGTAAATGGCTGTATCTCAAAGAGTTGTTGTGGAGATGAAATGTGACAGTACATGTAAAGTGCTTATCACAGTGCTTGGCAGATACCATTAGCTACCGAGTGATGTCACAGAAAATGGCAAAATAAGGAACTCCAAGAACTGGTCCCTCCACTGAAGCAACCTGGCAAACAAGCTGGCAGAAACTGTCAGTCACCCTTTTCAGAACTCTAGAATCTAACTTAAAAACAAAACAAACCCAAAAAACCCTTCACATCTACTCGGACAAGGCATAGGTAGAAGGGCTGTCAAATTTTGACATTTAAGAAAATCTTTCAGGTCACTGGCTAACTGCTGCAGTTACACAGAGGAGACTTCAGTGACCGCACAACAAGAATGCAGTCTTTGCAAAAATAGTTTAGAAAAGTCACTAAACAAATGGACAACTCAATAAGCAGCAACAGCATATCAGGGAGAGAAGGGAGAATATGATTTCCAGTGATACTACATTACAATATTCAAAATGTCCTGCTAAAAATAAATGACCTACTAAATAGGAAAGTATGGCCTATTCACAGAAGAAAAGAAGAAATTGACAGAAACCGCCCCTAAAGGAAGGCCAGTCACTGGTTGTTGGCATCTTAGAATTTAGCATAATTATTAAAAGAAAACTTTGTTGGTTATTACTGGCAATATCATGCTTTCTTTTGGTTTTATATTGCATTATGAATAGTATAAATATTTTGCCCATTTCTCAGTGGAAAACACCGTTTGGTGAAAAATGACCAGTTTACACTTGAAGAATATTAAAATTGAGAAAATTTTACCCATAGATCAGGCCTTGAAAACATATATCCTCTCATCTATCTATTATTTTTTAATGCTCACACAAGTGAATAAAATTAGATAACAGTCTTTCTATTTTAAATTAATCACTTATTAAAGGACATTTGAATTTAACACATTGTTCTTATTTGAAATATAGTTTATTTGGTATGACATAAAAAACAAAGCCTTTATGCCATAATCTTTCCCTCTCTTTAGCTGCTCAGACATGGTACATTCCTGTTTTCTTGCCTTTCAAGAAATGCTACTGGTGTTGCCAGTAGCATGAGCACGGTTTTTCCTTTCCTTGTTGAGTCATGTGAGTCATAGAAGCTCTGTAACCTGCGTGGGTTTGGGCAGAAATCAAGTCATCTTGAAAGTGAGGAAAGATTCTTCCCACAGAGACTCAGGAACATAGAGGAATCATCTGGCAATGAACAGAAATTTAGATTGGCTACGGAATTGGCTGTCGACATGTTAAAACTAGAGCCAGAATTCCAGGTTATACGCTGACCAGGTCTAAGTGGTTACAGAAAGCCTTATTTGTGTCCTGAAAGATCCAGTCGAATATCTGTGTGCCCCAGATTCACCAGTGAATGAACTGGCTACTCAACCCAGTCTCCTTTTTGGTCCAAAGCAGTGGCAGTAGAGTTGTACATTGAGAGCACAAGGCCTTCATTCACACACGTGGCAGAGCCCTGGCTTGAACTTGAGCTTAGGAGGATGCAGTAGATGCAGGAACAATTGTTCTAGTATCCTCTAGAAGAGGAGTTTGCTGGTGAGAAAGACAAGCAGGATCTGAATGGCATCTGTGATGGGGCTGAGGAAGATTCTGTTGGCCAAGCTTTTGGTTGCAGTTGGAGTTGAGGTTGGATATAGGTTTCGGGTTGTGGTTGGGATTTGGGTTGTGGTCAGGATTCGGGTTGTGGTTGGCCTGGTCGTGGAGATCATGGACTCTGACGGTGTGGTCATTGCTGAGGAAAAAAAATGGCATCAGAACCTCTGGTGTGTAGTGGGTAGGCAGTAGAGAAATGAGGCTAACCTGACTGAACACTGGAGCCAGGATTCATGGACAAAATTTAATGAGAAGGTGGCAAGGGCCAAATGTTTGTAGAGGAGGGGAAAACTCAGGGGAACAGAATGTCAAGGAAGAACATTCTCTACCCTTAAGGTCTACACAGTCCTACAGGGGAAGGAATGTATACTTATGTAACTACTGAATTTGCTGTTGGCTTGGTTGTCCGTCCTCAAGTGTCCTTAATATTGCATTAGACGAATCAGTGCCAATATGATGTGAATGGCATAATTATTTTTTGTGGCTGATTTCAAAGGTTGTGTGTAAAGCTTGTAGGAATTAGTTACCACCCTGGCTGGGTTGCTCAGTTGGTTGAAGCATTGTCTCACACCAAAAGGTTGTAGGTTCAACCTCCAGTCAGGGCACATGCCTGATTGCATGTTCAATCCCTGGTCTGGTCACTATGGGAGGCAACTAATCAATGTTTGTTACCTCGATGTTTGTCAGTCTCTCTCCCTCTCAAATCAATAGACATATCCTCAGGTGAGGATTAAAACAAAAAAACAAACAAACTGGTTTCCAGCCAGACCTAAGGATGGCTACTTCTTTAAAGTAAGTGAAAAGAGACACTGCGCAAACCCCTGAATCTCTTTCTGTGGTTTCCGAGGCACCGGTCATTTTCCCGTGCAGTGTCTGACTACACGCTGGTTCTCTGAGGTCGCCTTTGCTGAGAAGCAGAGAAAGCCAAGCCTGCAACTGTGTGTGGGGAATGGGAAGTGGGTGGTGGGAGGGTGGGATATCTGATCCTGGAAAAACTGGAGCTTGGCAGTGATGCCTTCAAGGGTCTGAGTTGACCACGGAAGGGACTATGAGGAAGGGTATTGTCCAGCAACTTGCTTAGGCCCATGGTTCCTTTGCCTGCTTGGAGGGTGCCTTTAAGTCTGTGGCATTGCCTTATCTCATTTAACATTTCCCCAGACATTTCTCTGGCATCTCACTGAACCAGAAAGTCTGACACAACCACTATATTTTCCTTTTTTCAACTGGATTTGATTAGCATGGAGATAAGGAGTCCTGACTAGAAATGATCTTTCCCCCACCTTTCTTAGCATTTATACTCCTGTTCATACTGAAAGTGACCTTGAAGAAGACAATAACATCCTGACAGTCCTGTCACTGAGGGGAAAACACCAGTGAAACAGTTAAGACTTTTATGTAATAGTTTCATTAGGCATAATCACTTTAAAATTTGTTTATGAAAATAGATACCCCTTTGACCACATTTGCAGTGTATGACTGGTGGGAATGGGCAGGAGTAGATGTATTGCAGTGTTTTGGAGCTCCTGAGGAGGACTGAGACACTGAGAAAGGTTAATGTTTCTTGTTGTTGGTTGAACCTTGTATTTAAAAACTTTATTAAAAGAAGATCGTCTTTATAGTTTTGATGTAAGTCTAAGAAAAGTGTAGAAAATATAAGATGTAGAATTTGAGTCTTAGTTTTTCTATTTACCTTTGGTGTGACCTTAGGCTAACTTGACCTATATTTTCTGAACTTCAATTTCTTGAATTTGTTTTAGCTCCCTATAGGTGAGACAAAGAAGAAGACAGAGAGCAGAAAGGAAGGGCAAGGGGCTCCAGAAGTTGAAGACTACCACCTGTGAAAGACCAGGGCAAATTCCTGGTGGTGTTGGTAGTGGCCGAAGGACATTCTGAGAATGAATGCAATTTTTGGTATTTTTATGCTGTTGGTTCTTCTTTGTGCAAATCTGCCTCCTCTTTCCTATACCTGCGAAGGTTTATGTGAGTTGGAAGCCCATGGAAATTAAAGAGGGAGCTGACTTTCATATTGCTGTCTATGCGGCATTGAATAGAAATAGCTCCCGAGAAAGCAGCACTCTGGAGTCATAGGTGACTGTGGGGACATAAGGCCACTAGAAATTGACAGAAGTCTTCGGGATGACTTTTTCTACCGGGCATAAGATAAGGGGTTGAGCCAATCTTAAGTAGGATTCAAGGTACTAGAAGGCTTAACTGATATCTGGGTATTGTGTGACTAAAAGACTTTTTCCTGGGTACCCACAAAGTAACTTTCCAGGCTGATTGAGTTCACTGTCAGATATGTAAACAGGCTACAAAAAAACTTACCTTGTTTCTTCAGTTTCAGAGAAGAAAATGTAGCCATTTTTTGTACATTGACAGCAAAGGCTCTGTGGAGGGTAAATCAATGAGAGATAATGGTGAGGACCTCAGCTGTGGAATGCACAAGATCCGCTCACATTTCTGCCTTCCCAGAGGTTTCTAACCTCTTAGGTCCTTTTATGCTCACTTTCTGTACAGCACAATTAGCAGATCATTAAGTACTGGTCCGCTCTATATTGTCTTAACTAAGATCCTCCTGATCTTGCTCCAGAGGAGATCATGTCCATCCCCCGCCCCAGACAACTTCATCACCCTGAATTCTCCACAGGCTGGTATCCACCTCTGGTCTTTGTTCAAGCTAGTCCCTCTGCCTGTAGCATCCCTCCAGACCACATCTGGCCACGTATTGAACAGTAACTCTGTGATGTCGTTTTCCCTATAATCGTTAATCCACACAGGTCAGATGACGTGCCCCTCTACAGCATTGTCTTGCTATGAGCCTCTCCCTGTGCTGGAAGGCCAGCACCTTGAGAGCAGGTTCTGTCGTCGACAATGACCGACACACAGTAGATGCTTAATAGTCATTAAATGATCTGTAGAATTTGGTGTGTTTTTCTTATATAAGTAGGTCCATTATTATATCAGCCTCTTGTTCATACATTCAACAGTTAGTTAATGAGAGTGCACAACATGCCAATCACTGTGCTCAGTGCTGAGGGGACAGTGGTGAACTGGACAGGCATAGTCTTACCCTTGTGGCATTTATAGTCCCTCCAGAGAGACAGATTTTAAGTGAATAATCAACTAACAAATTGTGTAGTTGATCACAGTGGTGATAGGTGCTCTGACAAAGCAGTGAAAGTGTGAGAGTAAAAACAGGGATATGGAACTTACCTGGGAGTTTAGGAAATTCTATCCTGAGGATGGGATGTTTAACCTCAGTAATCATTTCTGTAATGGCCTTGCCTCACCAAACCTCACTGTCAAGTTCATGGCCAGACATCTCTTCATACCACTTTTGTGCCCTACCAGCACAGAGGAGTTCCCTGCTTTCTTTATCTCCCATCACATGTGTTGCTCCCCTCTCCTTGTTGGCCTTGCTGATCAAGGCTGTTTGTGTACATTGCAGACAAGCAGAGAAGCCAGTGCATCAAAGTGTGGTGCGAGTCAAGAAGGTCTGGAGACCACACTGTCAGTGGGAATGTGCTGTTTCTAGTGCATATTGTCCCTGCTTGGTCTTTCATCTTTTGTTGCTGTAATGAGGAGAGATGAAAGGAGAAGTTGTTGCTGTAATTAGCCTTGGCTGGCCTAGAAGAGACTGCTGTAGTTGTGAGGCTGGATTGTAGCAGCTCCTTTTGGACTCGGCTCTTGCAGGTCTCTCTGTGAGAGCCATCTAGGTCCAAGCGGGCCCTGGGAGTGGCAGGTGAGTGTGGGATGGCTTGTCCGCATCATCACCACCACTGTCCACAGAGACCCGGTTGTTGTTCACAGTGGACAGAGACTGGTGGTCAGACTTGTGCTTTCAGCCCAAAATGACAGGCCAAAACTCTATGGACCTCTCAACATTTGGTCTCTAAAGTAAACTTGGTAACAAATCCCTGGCTGGGAGGAAGGTTTTGTTAAAGTGCAATGTGAGCCCCTGGTTGGTCTCACATTGAAATGAGAGTGTGTCCTTTTGGTGTGACGCTAGGAAGCCAATCATTATGCAGTCATCACACTTTCTGTTTGCAAGCTATTTCCAAAAGGAATCTATGTTTTAAGAAACGATTTTCCAGTTTGAATATAGAGAATTTGAAACAAATAGGGTGCCCAGTGACAAAGATTCTTTGCTCGATCAAACTTCAATCAGGAGGAGGTTCAGCTTCGGAGCCTCCTCCTAGGCATCTGTGCACTGCTTGTAAAATCCAGATTTAGCAAGAACAGTCAGTTTAACAAGAACTTCTTTTTAAATATTTTTTTGAAGATTTTATTTATTTTTAGAGAGGGGGGAGGGAGAGAGAAACATCGATCAGTTGCCCCTCATACATACACACCCAGACCTAGGACTGAACCTGCAGCCCAGGTATGTGCTTCGACTGGGGATTGAACAGGTGACTTCTTGCTTTTCAGAACAACACCAACCATCTGAGCCATAACAGTCAAAACTAACAAGAACTTCTGATAACCCTTAATGTCTGATTGAGTTCCTCATTTTCTACCATCTCCCAGGTGATATTTTATCACCTTGGCATGCCCTTCAGCAATAATCCTGTTAGGGCAGCTTGGCTAGAAATTCCTAACCCCGCTTACAGTCCTTGATGTTTCCTTTCAGTTATTTTCCCTCCACTGACGCCCACCCTGCTCCTTGGCTATACATTTCCACTTGCCCATGTCATATTCATAATTGAGCCTGATTCTATACTGAGGTCTCTTTTCTTCTATTGCAATAGTTCTGAATAAAATCTTTATATACACACACACATATATATGTATTATGAGTGTATGTATGTGTTTTCTTTAACACCAATTCTTTCTGTTTATGTTGAACATACATGGTATGTGTGTGTGTGTGTGTGTGTGTGTGTGTGTGTGTATGTAAACTCCTATAGGTAAAAGGCCAAAAATGGTGAGGCAGAAGAGGAGTGTACGTATTGAATTCTCCATATCATATCTAGATTGTATTTTGAGTCTTCCAAGATCAGTATAAAACTGCATAAGCCCAATATGAAGTTGTAAAAGCCCAAATCCTATGTATAGGTTCTTACTGTATCTCAACTGTTGTTACGTTTGTGGAAGGAGGAGATGTCCAACTGGCCTGGAAGGACCCTTCATGTGTGCCCTGGAGGAAGTATAGGACGCTGCTGTTGCAGGCCAGGTCTGCTCTGTGCCAGAAGCCTATGGAGTTGTTATTCATGTCCAGTGCTCGCAGGACCACTGAACGGGTCCTGGAACTCACAGGAACAAGTACTAGGAAGAAATGATAAGGAGACAATCAGACACCTATGTAGCAAGAAGGGATGAGGGTCATGAAATCAACATTAACTGTGAAAAAAAGTTACAAATAGCATGTACATATAGTGTGATCCCACTTTTATGGAAGTTGAAAAAGTCTGGAAGGAAAGCTATCAAGATATTAACTACGATGATTTCTTGGTAGTGGGATTACAGATGATTTTTCTTTTCTTCCTACTGCTTTTTTGTGTTTTCTAAACTTTCTACAGTAAAAGATAGATAAAAGGAAACCCATTCTCTTGTCCTGGTTTTGCTATGTACCAGGGGTGAGACTCGAGGCTGTCTCTTAACCTCTTGAGCCTGGGTCTCATCTGTCAGATGAAGAGGATGAATGTACCCCTTCTTTCAGGGGCCGTGGAATATTGGAAGAGTAAGGGTTGATGCATGTGAACGGGTCAAATGGGCCCCCTGGGAAGTGCTTCCTAAAAATTGGCAATGTCATTGCCAAGTTAAAGCTAAGCCTGTTTCCTAGTCTTAGAAATGCTGAAGCTTTCGGTCTCTGTTGTTGAGGGTGAGGGAAGGGGTGCCTCTGAGCCCCTAGGGCCCTAATCCAGGTAACTGTCAAATGACCCCTTAGAGTTCCCTAACCTTCTTCATTCAGCTGAGGCTCTTGTGACCTAGCTGGCATATACTCACAGCGGACTCCACTGACACTTGTTATTTCCATTTAGTAGTTTCATAATTATGTAATTGGGAGACAATTTCAAGAGAATATTTCATTTCCTTCCTTAAAAGATATCTGTTGAAGGAATTCCTTGATGCTAAGGTGTGTACCAGGGTACTTTCAAACTCCCAAAATTCCTTCAAAGACTTCCCCTTCACAAACTAAAGAACATGGATCATGTAGCACAATAGGATCAGGCAGTCCTGGTTCTGAATTCTAGCTTTAACAAATCAGTTGACCTCTGAGCCTCAGTTTCCTTATTCTTCATTATTCACTTCACAAATATTTATTGAACGCCCACTTTGCACCAGGCCTAATTCTAGGTCTGGACATAGTGATGTGATCCTTTTCACCTGGAGATCCTTATCTTGAAAGGAGTAAAGAGAACAATGCCAAGACTTTAGTACATTGTGGATGTTAGATAAATTACAATTGTTATTATTTCTAGCACAAAACACTTCTCTGTTCTATTTGTGATTGCCAATTAATGTGGGCTGAGCCAGGTCCCATGGGCCCTGACTTGCTCGGTGAGAACCTGGCATTTGTCCTGGATGTGTGCATGGTGGTGAGGTGGACTGTGACAAGTGATGCTGTCATCTGGGTAGTCACCAAACCTGTCAGCTCTCCTTGGGCATGCTCTCGCTTCTGTCCTTTCTTCTGCTTCCTCTCACTCACCCTGGCTCATGTCCTTCTTTCTTCTCGCCTAGGCATCTGTTTTATTTGGATTTCTGGTCTCCATGCTCTCTTCCTTTCAGACTGCAGCCAGATCAGACTTCCACACGTAACACTTCCATCCAGACACTCCTTTCCCAAATCTTTAAAGTGCTCTTATTTCTAGAGCATCTAAACATTTCTGCTTCTTTTCTGTCAGTTACAGTACCCAGCATGTAGCTTTTGTGATCCTTGTAACCTAGCTCGCTCTGCTGTTTGCGCCCCACTCCAGGGGCAGCCAGCCTTCCTCCAGTTCTGCAGGCACACTGACCTCACACTGGCATGGCAAAGACCTGGACCTGGTCTGTGTTCATGTCTTGCTGTCTGTGTGCAATCCTTACTTCATTCTTATCGCACATTTCATCCCCATTAACTTTCCAAAATCCTGCTCATGACCCACCACCGGGTCAATTCAGCCTTCTTTTCCTCTCACTCCTGAAACATTTACGTTTTTCACGTTTTTTACTGAGTGCTTAATTACATTTTGGCTTACTTGTGTACTGTGGTTTCATCTGCATGAGTGTCTGGCCAGCCCAGTGCTGGGTACCTGGAGGGCAGTAAATAACTACTAATTGAAAAAAGTTGTGCATCCAATATTGTATAGTAAATACTCTTAAAGCTGAACATTTGGGGAAAAAGACAGACAAGTTACGTCTTTTTTGTCCACAGAAGTAAAAAATGGAGGCAGATGCTGACCTAGTATAGTCTTAACATAAATGTCATTGCATTAGGGGTTTCTTTCAATGATATGAAGACAGACCCAGGGAACCTGTTGTAAGATATTGCCTAAGCTGCAATTGTCTCGGGACCTGCTAAGCCATTTATACATGACTTACCAATGTTGACACAAACCCTGATATTTAGAGATTTTCAAAATCAAAATAAGGAGAAGTTAGTTTGTGTGGGCATTTACTTGGTCTCTGTAAAAGTTAGCACCCTGCTCAGCCGAGTCCTGCAATGACACTCTACAGGGAAATCACAGAGAGTGTCTTGTGATCATAGGTGTGGAATCTGGCACTTCAAATTCTTGTGGGCACAGGGTTTTGACTCAACTTAAAGTATTCCTACAGTGTATTGCAGAACTGTAGCACATTCTGAGATGAAATCAGGTAAGTTGGGGGAAGTACATTGCATCATTTCTTCCTTCCCCTTTTCTCTGCTCCACCACTACCTCTGGAAATGCTGCAATTTCCCTTTTACCCAGCGCGTTCCCTTTCAAGGGGTCTTTCCTTTTAACCTGTCTTACTAATCATCTTTTGACTCCTATTTTCTCCTGTCTTCCTGCTTTCAGAAAGCTCATCACCCCTCCGTCTCTGCACCCTCTACCCTAGTTTCACAAGGTAGGTTTCTGTTTGTTCCATTTCAACAGCAAAATCCTTCACCTTGGGAAGTATCTTAAGTCAGAGCTCTTATCATCTCCTTTTTAGTAGTCCCTCCGGCCCCCCAGGTCCTTTCCCATATACGTGGTCACATATATGTCCTCCTTATCTTCATCTTGAATTACAAGATTATCCTCCCTGCCCTATAGGACAAGATCCACTGTCTGAGCAAGTAGGACACAGTGAGCCTTATCATAATTGAGACGTTTAGTGACAGTACCCATGAAAATAAAAGAAAAAGAACAAACTATAAGCTGGCATGGGTGTGTGAAGACAGGCTATAGTCATTTACCTGCCAAAGCTTGGAATCTGCAGACCATGGGTATGGCTATCACCCTGGCACTCTCTGCAAAACTTGGTTAGAGTTTTAAGAGAGGCAGGATAGCACAGCATGTAAGAGGACAGCTCTGAAGCTGGACAGCCTGGCCGAACAAAGCTGGACTATTATTTAGGTTCAAATGTTAGTTATGTTACTAGTGATCTTAGATAAAACTTTGACTTACCTGTGCCTCAGTTGTCATCTGTAAAATGGGATGATAATAAATAGCATTGACCCCTAGAACAGTACTCAGCACTTAATAAGTATCAGCTCTGGTTACTATAATTGAGAGGTATATAGTGTAGTGGTTAAGGGCAGAGTCTCTGAAGATAGATTGCTCAGGTCCCCACCCCAGCTCTACCAGTTAAGTAGTTCCATGACTTGAGCAAGTCACTAGCATTTCTACTTCTGTGTTTTCATCTACAAAATAAGAATGACAGTGGTCTCTACCTAATAGGTTGTTATGAGAACTAAATGAATTTATACATGTAAGCTACTATATTAAATGTTGTGAAAATAATGAGAAGGCACTTGCCTTGACTTGTAGGTTTAGCTGATACCAAAACAGATATTTATAAAATATTACTAGGCGCCTTTAAGAAAAACTTGATTAGGAATGAAAGGAACAAGATTCAAGAGCCAGTTCTGCCACTTACTAGCAGTGAGACCCCAAGCAAGTCATTTAACTTCTCTCAGCTTCAGGCTCCTTATGTAGAAGACAGGATAGCAATACTTTCCCTGTCCAGCAAACTGGATTTTTTGCTTGTGTACTAAATGCGAACAATGCCTCCTGGAGTTGTGCAATAGACAGTCATCCACAGTGGCACTGTTTTATTAAATGGGTGTGAAAAGATTATAAAATGTGATGCAATTATCATCCCTTAAGATAATAAATATGCCGATTTTAAGTCAGGACTTGCTGTGGGTGTGCTCTTGCTGGGTCTCAGTTAGCCTGGGGGGATTTAATGACTCCTTGTCACTCAGGTTGGCACAGGGAGTATGCAGAAATGTTTCCACCCAAACCACTCTCTCCCATATTCTCATTCTTTCTGTCCCCACTGCCCATCTGGGTCAAAAATGTGTATTTTGTATCAATGACAGCAGAGATGGAGAGCTATGTTATGAAATTCTTGTAAACTCCCCTTAGAGAAAAAAGACAATAGAGAGAATAGCTTCTACTCACTTGTGTAGACCTTGTTGTCTTCGTAAACATCTGAACTGGCCATGATGCCAGTGGTGGGGACGACAGCACTGAAGGACATGCATCTGTCACTGTCATTTGCAGAGCTGGCAGAAATAAACAGCATTCCGAGGCACAGAAACAGCCGCAGGGATGGCAGCAGGGACCCAAGGACTGCCATGATCTTGGTCTGTTCGGACAATGCTTGATCTGGAGCTGGGGAAGATCTCACCTAGAGTTTATATGCTGGAGTTTCTGGGTTAGGTCATACATGCAAATTCTGCTGTAACCACACCCTGGCTTCTGAAATTTGTTACCATGATCCTTTATCAATTCCAATTTTGCTCAAGAAAGAGAATGTACTGATTATGGATTTATTCTGCATCTCACTCACCTTAGTACCTGCTATTTGAAGAATGCTGTGGAGAAAGGCTTAATGCTGGCAAAGTAAAATTAGGGGTTGAGTAATCATTATATGCCTGGCTCATTTATAAGCTCCACTCTTCTCCCTGTAGGAAACTTAGGCATAAAAACCATCTTTTCTTGGAATATTACATATCCATTCCCCACACTCTTTAATTGACCATGTCTCCAATCCCAGTTTATTTTGTGACTAGCATAGAACTAAAAACATTGTGCTTCTGGATTTACACTTGGAAAGAAATAGCTTTTTCCATCTTGCACTGTAGAGCAAGGAAACTACTTTTTAAAAATCAGAAAACATGTTTTTCATATCTCTGATTTACTCACTGAAGGAAGAAAGAGGGCAGAAATATTTTACCATGTGAGAAGAAAGAAAACAAAAAATGTAGAGTTGAGTCAAAATATGAACTATTTCTTAAGAAAAGCACTTAAGAAATGGTGGAGTAAGGACCTCTGAAAAACTCACTCCTCCCAAAAAGCAGTGAGAACTCTAACAAAAATGGTAAAAAATATTTTCCTGAACTCTACATATTAACTAAAGCTTGCAACAATCTGGGAAGCATTTGTTTAAGAAAAATGGCTGAATATTTTTAAGCACAGTGTTAGGGCATTTTAACTTGTCCTATTCCCATCCCCTCACCCTGTCTCTACAGTAGCCGTAGAAACTAACAGCCTTACAATGGTTGTCATGAAAACTAGCAAACTGACAGCCAATGTAATGTAACAGAATAGGTTTGGAGCTTTCTATAAAAGCTCCATACTTACAGAATTGTCTTTATTTGACCTGACTCAGAAAGTGGACACAGTCTTATTCCTAGGGTATTTGTTAAAAACAAAGAATGGGATTTTTTAAAACATTGCAGCTGCCTGAGGCTGTGGTTCCAATTGATACTAACCAAGAGCTGTGCAAAAAAATGTAAAAGAAAAATCTGGGGAATAAAATGTTGGTTGGGGCCCTTGAAAATCTCTGACAAATTCCTGGGAATCTAGAAGGACGTGTGTATATAGGGCTGTGGACATACCCAAGAAAGCCCTAATCACTCATTTCTGGCTCTGTACAGGCATATCTGTACAGGCAGGAAAATAGGGCTACATCAGAGCTGTAAACTACGTATCTAGTCATTGAAAGTATGCCTTCAAACACACCCACAGAGGAATTTGGCAAAGGCTGGGAAACATATTGGTGCAAACATTAAAGACATTTGTGTTTATTTGTTAGCTGACTACTAAGCTAACTGAGCAGGGACATCAATGGCCACACATGATAAAGAATATAGGCCGTATAGAATTAAATCAGATAAGTCACTAAACAAACAACAGCAACAACAACAAGTAATAACAACCAATGGAAACTGCAATAAACCTTGGGAGGGAATCTGGTGTCCAGAATGGCCAAATTATAATGTTTAATTTTTTTTAATTATAAGACATATCAAAAACAGAACATATGATCCATACATAGGAAAAACTCCAACCAATAGAACCTGTCCCCAAGGAAGCCAGATGTTGGACTTACTAGACAAAGACATTAACTCAAGTATTGTAAATATGTTTAAGAAATAAAAGGAAAATATAAGAAAGACTCACAAAATAAAGAATATTAATAAAGAGATAGAGATGATTAAAAGTACCAAAAAATCTACAGGTGAAAAGTATAACTAAAATGAAAAATTCACTAGAAGGACTGAACAACAGATTTGTTAGAACTAGAAGAAGAAATTATCAATAAACTTGAAGATATTCAATAAACATTAAATAAATTCAACAAAAGAAGCACAACTTGTACACTGAAAACTACAAGACACCCAGAATAGCCAAAATGATGTTGAAACAATAATAACAAGGTTGGAGAACTCACACTAAGCAATTTCAAAACTTACTACAAAGCTATAGTAATCAACACAGTATGGTATTGGTGTAAGGGTAGACATACAGATTGGTGGAAAAGAGTTGAGAGCTCAGAAATAAACCTGTTTATTCATAATCAACTGATTTTTGACAAGGGTACCAGGACAATCTGATGGGGGAAAGCATAGTCTTTTTAACAAATGGTGCTGGGACAACTGAATATCCACATGCAACATTATGAAATTGGGCCTCTTTCTCACACTATGTCAGCTCAACATGGACCAAGAACCTAAATGTAAGAATTTAAGCTATAAAACTTGTAGAAGAAAATGTAGGTATAAATCTTCATAGCCTTGATTTAGGCAACAGTTTAATGGATATAATACCTAAAGCAAAAGCACCCAAGGGAAAAAATATGGACTTCATCAATGTTAAAACGTTAAATGTTAACATTTATGGACATCATCAATGTTAAAAGCTTTTGTTCTTCAAAGGACTTCATCAATGTTAAAAGCTTTTGTTCTTCAAAGGACACTGTCAAGAAAGTGCAGACAATTCAAATAATGGAAAAAGTATTTGCAAATCATATATTTGATTAAGGCCTAGTATATGGAATATATAAAGGACATTTACAACTCAACAATAAAAAGAAAAATACCCCAATTTAAAAATGAGCAAACAACTTGAATACTTTCTCCAAAGATATACAAATGGCCAATATATTCATGAAAAGATGCTCGATGCCATTAGTAAATCAAAATTACAAAGAGATACCAATTTATAGCCTCACAATGTTTATGATGAAAATGACAGAAGATGTGTTGCCAAGAATATGAGGAAATTGGAAACTTCATCTATTGCATGTGGGAATGTAAAATAATCCAACTGCTCCGGAAAATAGTTGACATTTTTTCAAAAGATTAAACATAGAGTTACCGGTAAATGACCCAGCAACTCCACTCCTAGGTATATATACACAAGAGAATGAAAAACATATGTCCCCCAAAAAACTTGTACATAAATGTTTATAGGAGCATTATTCATAATAGCCAGGAAGTGGAAATAATCCAAATGTCCAGCTCCATAATGGATAAAAAATGTGACATTTCCATTCAATAGATTGTTCAGCTCTAAAAAGGAAGGAAGTACTGGTGGATGTTACAACATGGATGAACCCTGAAAACATGCTAAGAAAAAATAAGCTAGGCACAAAAGGCTACATATAATATGATTTCACCTATATGAAGTATCCAGAATAGGAAGATTTAATAGACAGAAAGTGTTGCCAGAGACTGGGGGGCAAGGGAGAATGGGAAGTAACTGCTAATTGGCTTGGGGTGAGGGAAATGTTCTGAAATTATAAAGTAGTGATAGTTTCATAATCTTGTGAATGCACTAAAAACAATGAGTTGAATTTTATGGTTTGTGACATTTATTTCACTAAAATTTTTTCTAGATATACTATTCTGTGTGGGCAAGTTGGGAGAGTAGGAAGAATTCAGCAGAACTTGAGTATTAGATCTGGTTTAGAATCCAGGCTTTAGGAGAGTTTTAACCTACCTGAGCTTTAGTTAGTCTCCACTTCTAAAAATTGGGGCATTAATCCTAATCTTACATCTTTTTATGTATACTAAGTGAGAAATATTTGTAAACTGATTGAAGGGATGTGGGGAATGGGACATATAGGAGGTTTATAACACATGCTAATTTATTTCCTCCCTCCCTTCTTCCTCTCCTTCCTTCCTTAGTTTATAACCAGGTTTTAATAGGATCTCAGGCATTGCCTCAAATAGTGAGGGTTTAACCACTGACCTGAGTAAACCAGGTTGGAACTGAATGTGGGACTAATTGGATGAAAAAGGGACACTGTAATAAATCCCGTCTAAACCAACTCCCCAGTATGATATGATCAGAAATTCCTGACTGAACAGGTCATGCTGCCTAGTCCCACTCCAGGCAAATAACTTTTTAGTAACAGGTTTATTTTTGCCCTAAGCAAGCCCTTTCCATTGCTTTTGAGCATCCAGGTTAACACATTTTTGAAATGCCTATTTTTCAGACCCCTCAGAAGTATAACCACCCTTAATTAAGACTGGTTATAATCTTGGTAACTGTCCTGTAATCCAGGCCCCTCCTTCCTTTACCCCATCCTCATGTAATCACTCTTATGTTCTCTTCTTAATTCCAGATGTATAAAAGTAACCAAAACCATTATTCTCTGGAGCATTTGAGATCTTGTTTCCCAGCATTGTTGTCAGTTTTGGCTCAAATAAATTCTTTTAAAAAATTCTCTACACGTTTGGGTGTAGAGAATTTACATCAACATTTATTTTAGTGTGGTTGGCAGGACCCTGAAGAAACTCAACCGTGTGGACCCACCCCTGGTGCTAGGCGCCAGCAAGGGTCCATCGTGCCCCAGCAGCTCCCTGTTTTGTATCAGGTGAACTTGGGTGAGTTTTCTCTCTTGGAATCTTGGATCTCCCTGCTTTAAGTAGCAAGTTCTGACCTGCCCCCAAAACTTGCTGTTCTGTGGAGAGCGTATATGCTAAGACTATTTATACTGTCAGAAGTCTTGTGGGCACTTGAATACCTTGTTGGTCTGTCTGGGAAGGAGAGCTTGCAGAGATGACAGAGTAGCGTGTCTTCCCAAGGTTAACACCTAAAGGGAGGATTCCTGAAATTTATCAGAAATGACCATTGGTGAATAGAGGGATCATCAGTCTGAGGTGCCCCAGGTTTTGTATCTAGTCTCCTGGGTGTGTCAGAAACATGAAAGAGGCCCTGGCCAGGTGGCTCAGTTGGTTGGAGCATCTGTCCCTATGTGCCAAGGTTGTGGGTTCAATTTCCAGTCAGGGCACATATAAGAAGCTATCAATGAATTCATAAATAAGTGGAACAACAAATTGCTGTTTCTCTCTCTCTCTTTCTTT